TTTCCCTTTACTGCCTCAATATATTTTACAGGATTAATGATTTACAACTTCTCAAAAGGAGACCAGACCTCAGATGTGGCATATAAAACACCTGATGTTCTCAAGTTCCGGGCAGAGAGAAAGAAAGCTTTACCAGAAACTTTTCAAGTCCCTGGTGGACATACTGTAAGCCATGCTGGGTAGATGCACCACTGGCTCTCAGGCCTGTCCTCAGACATCTGTAGAGCATCAGCCAATGAGAGGAATTTGGTGAGATCCTGAGCACAAACACTCTCTGAGAAGTCTACAGGTACAGCTCATGGAAAATGTGGGTCACCATGTGTAGTCTAAACTGTCAACAACAGCAGGCAGTTGTCAGCTAAGAGTACAATATCTCAGACCAGTCTCCAAATGGCAGAGCAGCAGAAGCAACAGGCAGAACCATGCAGCTGCTTCAGCACAGTGGCAGTGCCATAAGGCTTTCGGCAACCCCCAGTGCAGAAGGCAGCACACTGAAGGTGACAAGTGTATTGAAGGTAGACAATGCAAGTCTAGAGCAATGACCAGATATATGAGGAACTGAAGACCTTTAAGCACAGTGCAAGACTTGGGCATCCGGAGAGGATTAGGAGCCCTTTTTACTTAAGACAGGAAGGCCAGAATAGTGATTAGTCAAAAAGAACAAACACTGGAGAGCAAGTACAACCCAATGCCTGGTCCCAGCTGAGATGCAAAAGCAACGTTCTTATTGAGAGATAGAGAAGAGACAGGTTCCACCATTTCCTCTCACAAATAAGCTATAAAAAAAGGGAAGGTTTTATCTTCCCTAAATCCCTAACTGCCTCCCCACACATTCCTCTCAACTTGGGGCCAGCCAAGTAAAGGAGATTTTCGCTGAGACAAGAAGCATGAAGAGGTGTGCCAAATCCCTCCCGCACCATATGCCAGATGTGCAAAAGAATATTCTCCCACCTACAGCACAGCTATCAAGGGAGCAGATACACATCAGGGAGAGGCTGCAAAGGGTTATGGACACAGATTGGTCTCCATCCTAATGAAAACATGTGATGTTATTGATAGTAGGAGAGTGGGAAACCCTTGCTCTGTGATGGTCTATAAAACCTTGTAGCTGGAGTTGGACTGCAGCTGGCCGAGGTCACTCAGGTGCCAGTGGTCCAGTGTTGGGACGATCTTGGCCCCTATCTGCCCACGTACCATGCCATCCGCGAGGGGGAAGACATTCAGAGAATTAGGACGTTCCTTCCTGCTAAACAGAGAAACAGAGAGAGAGGCGAAACCAATCTGTTAGCCGTTTACAAGTTTCTTACAGAAAAGAAACAGCACACTAGCTTATGTGAGATATTAGTCACTAGAAACCGAATTGCACTCCTTCCCCTCACGCAGCAGCTATATGAACTCCCAACTCCCACACTTCTATGGTGTTGCCTACTCACACCCATGGTGTCTACTGCTAGAGCCATACCTCTTCTGGGGGAGACTCTAAGAGGGAGGGGCCAAGTGACCACAACAGGCATGACTGCCTTCTCCATCAGTACAAAATATCTGGTGAGAATGCAAAATGCAATGGAGGAACCACCAGCCAATTTAAGTCAGTGTATCTTCTGAGAAACAAAGGTACTGTGGGAAAGCAAGCCACAGCAAACAACTCTCAAAGCAAAAAAAGAGAAAGCTTCCATAAATCCTAGAGATGTCATCACTGTATCAGGAAAGAGGCTTTTAAGTAAGAGTCATCTATGTGGCACTTCTGTAAATTCCACCCCCAATCTGGTTAGCTCCAACAGCAGAAATCAGAGGTTTCTGGATCACGTCCAATATTAAGCAAGAAAAATAATACTTGTACTCTCTGATCCCCTCCCCATATCCATATTACAATGCACTCAGAATTCAGAAATTTGTTACACAAAGGTATAAATTAACGCATCGTTCATATTGCCAGATGTCTGTAATTACGTTTTCTTCATCATCTTCTTTCTGGCAATTGCAAGCAATTAGCTAGCTCCTGGTTTGATTCTGAATATAAAAGCTGGCACAGGTTTTGAGACCAAGTCCCACTGGGAGAAAATCTAGAGCAAGCAGTGGAGGTGTAAAAGGCTGCAGCAGCATGCCAAAACCAGCAACTCGTTTTATGCCAGAGCCTGAAGGGACAGAGTACACATCCATGTAGGAGATATCCCCAGCAGCCTCCACTAGCTGGACTCCAGTGGCCCTGCAGAGAGGAACTAAGAAGGGGTTCAATGATGGTACTTCACCTACTCCTGCACAGGGCTTTGGCTACCAGTACGGGAAGTGATGATATCCGTCTTTCTGCACACCAGTACTAATAACAGCAGACCTTTAATGATCATCATCACTGGTCTAATGACCAAGCTAGGCAACCATTACAACCCCCTTTTGCCCACGGTGGACAGAACGACTGCAGCAGGACCTAAGGACCCCAGGATGTATGCAAACACACTAGCACAGAAGATGGCAAACAAACCAGCTCATTTATGAAGGACAGAGGTGGAGTGTCTAGCAGAGGAGACAATGTTTGTAGAGAAAGCCAAAATGCCCAACCTTTCCATTCTCAGCACTGCCACAACACTGTATCATTGCTGCTTGTACTGAGGAATAACTGCTTGCCATGGCCTATCTGGATATGCAGAAAGGGCAGACAGGCGTTTCCAGCATGGCCCAGCAAGGAGATTGGGATGCACCTTTCCTAAGAATCTGCATTAAAATCCTCCTGAAGATCCCAAAGACTCATACATGGAAGTTTCATAGACCAAGCCTCCTACAAAGCCCACAACTGGATTTTAGAGGGACACAGATCATCGACACAACCCAATTAAAGGGTTTCAGGGCAAACATGCAACCATCTTTCAATAGATTCAAAATAGATTCATATATGATAGGGATTATCATTGTCTGTGTATCAATTTCCATTCAAAAGGCATCTTGGTGCTTGTTACTTTTAAATATAAACAATCACTGAAGATGTAAACATTCCACTGCTGTTTGCCTAAATACCTATTTATGACCTCTAGCCTGTCATTTACACCTGCTCATGGTCATGATGCCAAAGTATATTTACTTGTGTCTTCCTGCATTTACCTATCTCTATCCCAGTACTATCATTCCATGACCCTGAAAGTTTCTAACAGCCATGTTTTAAGTTTCTAAGTAACATACTAGGGAAATTTCTCCCCTAAATTGAAATCTTCACCCTTGGCACTGTACTGATCTAAAAGTAACAAAAAGTATAGTTAGTTATACATAAGAGATTCAATACTAGCAATTGGAACTTCATGCCACAAAGACAGAAAATTCCTAGTTTCAGGGTTAAAGAAATAACTCATGGGTCACAAAGAATCTACCTCAACAGAATCATTCTTTTCAGGGAGAAAAAAATAGGCTATTTGTTGAGCTTGTCTGACCATTAGTTTCATATCTTTCCTCTTCTTCAGGTTAGAACGATGGTCTTAAGGGAGACATGCTTCACAGGTGTATGTAGCTGGAAAACATTTCCTATAAGTGCAAAATATTCCTTGCAAAACAAGTGGTGCAGTCAAAATACCTAATAACATGCCATAGCATATAAACCCGCCCATGACTATGCTGGGATAGCCTAACGTAACTCACTGACAGCACTGAGAAGTATGAGCCATGCCAAACATATGCTGAGACACACTAAATTATGTTTCTTCCTTAGATAATCTCTATCAGATTTCTTTTGGGAACCCATAGCTTCTTTCTATGTTCATATACAAACACATGCACATTTACCATGCAAAGGGATACAGCACCCCATTGAATGTGCAGTGAACTTCACAGTCCCTGCTAAACAGAGAACAGAGGTACAAAGCCTCTGTAGGATAGAAGCTGTAGGATCTTCAGAAAAGAATTTTAACGCAGACTGTTAGGAAATTTCCTTGCTCGGTTGCTTTGGAAACACCTTTCA